GTCGGGGTGCCGCTCCCGCCGCCCTCCACTCACAGGAGGAGGTTGCCCGCAGCGTCGCCGTGGGGTCAGGCCGGAGCTGCCGCCCCGCGTGGGGCCGAAGCGCTGCGGGCGGCATCGCCCTCTGCTCCCTCTGTTGCGCCGCTCCCTTGTGGGACGTGAGTCAGCGCCTTGGACGGTGCCTGCGGCCTCAGCTGCAGAGCCCGGCCTTGCAGAGGCCTTTTCCACTGGCCTTGCCTTTGCACGGCCCTGCTTCTCCTTCCTGGAACCGAGTAACCTTCCTGGAACTGTAACTGCCTCTTTATGTCCAGGACTCTCTTCCCCAAGCCCTGAGACAGCCCTCCAAGCCCAAAAGGCCCTCAGCTCGCCTGCAGGAGCTGAACCGGCCCAACTTGCCCTGCTTGTCTGCTCTCAGGTCCAGCAGCCTCACCGAGTGCTCGCAGCAGGTCTCCGCACACTCTCTGGACCACCACCACTTTATCTTTGAGTTTGACCCCTACCATGATGCCAAGAACTACAAGTTCTATTCCATACCGTCTTTCCGCAATTTCTTAACATTCTTGAGGAAGCAGGAGAGCAACCATCAGGCTTTGGACTTGCAGTGCACCTGCAAAACGCTAATGTAAACAGAGAAATTGTGACTCTGACAGCTTATACTTCAAGACTGACAGAACTTCTCTGTTGAAGGTGTTAGCTTTCTCTGAGACCACCAGCGAGGGTTGACCTGCCCAGACCTGATGGATGCATGGAGCTCTCTGACAAGGCGACTTTCACTGTCTCAGCCCATCTCCAAGCTTTCAAGAAGCTCTGCAGACTGAGGGGCTCTTGGGAGGCTGGAGGAGCTCAGGAGCCCACAGAGCCTGGATGTGTCTGTTTGCAGTCCAGTGAATGCTTTCACCTCTCCAGAATGGCAGCCTAAACTGGCCTCCCGCAGTTTCACCTTCTCCTCTTTGCTTAGAGAGTTCCTGAGTCATGGCAACTTCTGAGAGGAGCTGTCATCAGAGCTTGTCTCCATATTCAGGTGGCAGGAACTGTCATGGGCAGAGGACTGCTTGCTGGGCCTTTGGATGGGCAGGCGTTTTGGAACCCTCAGAGTAGCAAAGAGGTAATAAACATGGACAGCTGAGGAAACATTATTTTTTTTTTAGATGCGGCCTAGAGACTATGGTCATGCTGCCCAGATCTCTCTTATGCCTGCTGGCCAAGATGTTCTTACGGGCCAGAGCTGAAAGTCCTCCAGACTACATCAGCAATTCCTCAGCTTGCCCCACCAGGCTCTGCTGGATACTGCTGTATGACACAGCTAGGAAATGGCTTCTCACTAGGGCTTCCTGTTCAAGGACAGCAGTAGTTTGTGGCTCTGGCTGATCTGCAAGACAGAAAGAAGAGCTACAGCACAGCAGGGCCCATTAGGCTCCAGCTCCTTCCTGTGGAAAGCAGGAACATGGTGCCATTCTTTCAGCTCAACCTGGGGCAATCAGTAGTGCTTCCAAGACCCTTTCCAGCCCAGTAAGTCTTAGCTGTAGCCCCACAGCCACCTTGCTCTGAAGTGACCTGATTCCTTGCTGGCTCCTCTGCTTGGCAGTAAGAATGAAATCTCCCTGACAGGCTATAGACTGCTCCCAGTCTCATTTCACCCTCCCCAGATCATTCCTGCAGTGCAGGATGCAGTGTCCTCCACACGCATGTCTGCATCAACATGCCGTTTGCTAAGAAATAGCCCATTTGTGTGATTCTCTTCAGGTGTGTGCGGGCAGGAGGGCACAGCATGCTTGTTCAGCTTTACAACAGAGCGCCTTTTTCATCCTCCTACTGTGGCTCCGGCCTTTCTGCGTGCATTCAGCCTAACACATTCCCCAAATCTTTCAATAGGACACGGTGCTGAGTTCTCAAAAGTGTTTATTGTCTAATATGCAGGAGGTGGAGGTGCAGTCACAGCCCATGCCACCCCAGCCATGTGTGGTTACAGCGCTTAGACAGTCATAGGCTCACAGGCTAATGCCGTGTTGTAAACAGCTCTTGGAGAAGTTGTAGGCACAAAGAGGCACTGGGCACAAGACAGGAGATGTTCAGGGCCACAGAGGAGGTAGCTTGTATTGCAGTGCTGCAGCAGCATGGCTGAATTGTGCAAGTATCCACCAGTATGGGAGAAGGCACCAGGATTAGCACGAGCATCTCAGTGCTGTGCAACAAGGGCAGACTGGGGGTCTCCTTGGCACATGAGGCACAGTGACAACAAACCTGTGACCATTTCAGACTCTGCTGGGGAGAAGGGACTTGTGCCCAAACTAGCCTCTGTGAGCACTTGCAGAAGGACTGGAAGAAAAGAAGGGGTCAGCAGAAAATTTGCAGTGCATAAATGACTGGCACATCACTTGATGTGTCTGGTGCCAGGATACCGCTCTGTTCCCAGGCTCCCCTGCTGCATAAGGGCTGTGGCCTGGCTGGGTAATCCCCTGTGGGAGAAGCAAGCCTTAGCAGGGGTGTTTTCTCCTTTTCTCACGCCTTCCTTCTCTAAAAGGGATTCTCCATGCTGAGGAGCTGTTATGGGAAGGTCAGGCTGTGCAGACTTGTACCTTGGTAATTCTGTCCCCATGCTGTCACCGCCTCACATCTGTACCTTTACTCCTGCTGGTTTCCTTGCCCTCTTCCCAGAGCCTGCCTGCAGCAGAGCCAGGGAGGGCAGCACCAGCACAGAAGGGCTCAGCTGTCTGGAAGATGCTTCATCTCACCTGCCCACAACAGGGGAGCAAAGCAGGCAAGCTGACAGCCTACATTTAACAGCAGCAGGGTAAGTGCAGGAGCTGGAAGCTCAGGGGCTAAGCCTTGTCCTCTCATGGGAGAGAAGGCCACAGGTGAAGCAGGGTGGGGAGCTGGTTCTGGAGTGCTGGTAAGCTCAGGCTGGGCGAGTAGATGTGGACCAGCTGCCCTGCTTGCTCATAGCCCACTGCAGGCAGGAAGGGGACAGGCAGCACAGGCAAATGCTCAGCACCTGTTGCTTTCCCTTTGGGCAGGACTAGAGGACAGCACTTGGAAGAAGGGTTTTGCTGTTGGCAAACACCAAAATGATTCCTGCTCGACTGCCACAGAACCAAATAGGGCAGCCTATAGAGAAAAGGGAGGGGCAGCGGAGTAGGACACAGGGAGGGAGCAGGAACTCACTGCTCTGCATGGCTGAAGTCATAGCAGAAGTTTAAGTTGCTGGGGGGTTTTGGGACAGGAGGGGGTGTGTCAGGGATGCTGATGTTTTCCAGGTCCAGGAGCCGCAGCTTTAGTTCCATTGACAGCAGGACATCAAGATCTGTCTGTGTTCGCTCGCTCGTCATCTCCTTGCCCAGCAGCATGTTCAGCCCATCTGTCCAGAGGCAGAACTGAGGAAACAAAGACCTACATTTCCAGCACCCATCAGGTGATGAGAAAACCCCTCTCCATCTGTGTGGCACCTACTACAGCACCCACCTCAGTCCACGTGCCCAGAGTAGCCCCACATTGAGTTTCTCCTTTCCCAAACCTCTTTCACTGTGCCACTTTCACCCTCCCTCATCTAGGCCAAGGGCAGTTTGTCCTCAGCCTCTAAGAGTGGGCTGCTCCATCAGTCATGCAACTCTGCTCTTTTCTCCTTTGCTGCCATGCACTTAGCTCCCAGCCACGAGGACACCTGGGGAAACCCAGGGACATGTCTGATATGTAGTGCTGCCCTGGAGGAGACTAGCATCTGTCTTTCTTTCCGGAGAAGGCATCAGGTTTCTTTACAGCATGTGGCCTCCACTCTACCTTCCCTCGGCCGCCTACCCCACTTCCACAGCCTGTTCTCAAGCCCGTGTCAGCCTGTGAGCTCCGTGTGTTGCCCTCTTAGCCAGGCTGGGTCTTTATTCATCTCCAAATCTTGCAGCCAGCTGCAGAGAATGGTAGCCCTCACATTCCTCTACAGCTTCTGTCACAGTCACAAAGGAGTTATTGTCCCTTTGACATTAGCTGGGACATTAGTTGGATGCCAGGGAATCCCAGTTCCCCTGGGCTATGCAGTGAAAGGCTAGAGTGGGCACTTCCTCTCCCAGTGTCACAAATCACCCTTTGGTGTCCAGTAGCTACCAGTTTACCTGCCTCAGCCCCATCTCTCCTGTTTTGCTGAGGGCATGTGGCACCTTGGAGAATCACAGTGCTCGAAGTACTTTGTAGCAGGCCCCATTTTCCAAGGCCACGAGAAAAGGGATGAGCCCTTCCTTGCCGGGGGCCTACTCTGCCTCTGGCAAGGACATCCGGCTACAGCACGCCCTCCAGCACCCCTCAAAACTCACCTCATACCGTGTGGGGGCAATGAAGTTCAGACAGTATTCTTCTACATCATACACAATGGAGAAGGCAAGCTCTAGGACATCCTGCAGGAAAAGCACAGAGGCTGGCAAAAAAAAAAAAAAAAAAAAAAAAAAAAGCTTCCTTGGCTTCTCAGCTGGATGCAGCCTGCCCTAGGAGAGGTCACAGCAGGAACTACCTTCCCAGTCTTCCCTCGTGAGGTCCGGAAGACTCAACATGCCTCTGATCTCCCCCATCTATACAGGCCAAAACGTGCCACATGGGAGCCCATCTTTGCATCTCTTTCACAGGTCTCTAGGTTTTGAAAGTGGACAGATAATCCTGGATCCTGGCTAGCTGCCAAGGAGAGACGTAGCTCAGGACATGTCTGGGCACAGGGTGGCTGGTGCAGAGCAAATGGCTGGGGCAGGAGAGCGCAGTCCAGTGCGCGCAAGGAGGAGGGAGGGGAGTGCTGGGCCCTCCGCGCTGTGACGGGTAGGGGATGGTGCTGACCTTGTTCTGCTTCCCAGAGCTCTTCTCCTTGGTGTGTGGACATTCCTTTCCAACAAGCAGTGCCTTCATGTCTGCCACGGGAACTGGGGCAGGTATAGGAGTGGTGAGTATCTGCCAGCCTCCCTCCTTACCCACAGAACTGCTACCCTGGGTGGAGACCCCAGGCCACTGCCAACCACTTGGGTGAGCAGTGTGAGAAGCCAGGGCAATTAGCCAGGGTCCTAGAAAGGTATCTGGACTCAGACCAGGCTCTGGACCAGTTTCAGTATGGGAAGGCCATAGAGATGCTGCTGACAGTGGCAGGAAGCAACCTGCCCCCATATCATGTCTCCTTCAAGTCCCCTGAGCTCAAGAGTTCAGTGGAGACTGAGCACTGAGCACCCCAATGCTACTCAGGAGAGCTCAAGTTGCTCTGCAGTATTCTTTCCAGAGGTAGCCAGCCCTGGCCTGATGTGCTACAGCCCCCAGTCCCACTGCACCACTTGGTACAGGGTCAAACATGCCGCACTTGGGCAGGGAACCAGTTCCCACCCTCTGGCATCCCCAGCACTTTGGAGCTTTGGCGTGAAGGAGGATCCCTTCCCTGGCTCCCTCCCTTTCTCTTTTCTCTCCCTCTAATCCACCATCACCTACTTTTTTCTGGCAGGCTCTCAATGGGGGGAGAGTGCACCCCCTCCTCCACATCTCCATAGTGCAGCACCTTGTGATTGGGTGACAGGCGGCAATACCAGAGCTTATCTGCAGCGGAAAGGCCATAGAGACATGTTCAGCCCCCAGCCAAATGTCCAGGTAAAAGGAGGAGTCCTCCATTCATACACCCATGTTCCCCGTTCTCCCAAGCAGTTCAGTTGACCCAGCCTTCCCAAGAGCCTAGCACACTGCCCACCACAGGTGGCCACAGTTAATTGTGGCTTCCCCTGTGAACTGTGGTTTCCCCTGTGGACAGTCCTTGGGTCTCTGCTCCCACCCTGGCACCCCACTCCAGGGAGCAGGAACAAGGCTGACACGTACCCTGCCTGCGGCGGCTGCTGATCTTGCGGAAGAGGGTGCCCTCGCAGAGACGCAGCAGACGCTGCTGTTGTATCAGTTCCAGGAGCTCAGGCTTCAGCCTCTCACGCAACTCTCTGGGCCAAGAGCCAGAAGGAGAGGAGTATGAACTCTCCCACATTGACCCACCACCTCTCCAAGGGCCTTCCCAGCCCCACAGAATCTCCCTCCCACCACAGGTAGGGTTTGCAGCCCTGCCTGAGAGCTCCTGCCTGGAGCAGGATGGCCCTGTCACAGCTCCAACCTCCCATTCAAACCCTACTCACAGCACAGGAACAGCCAGTGTCTCCTCCTGATGCAGCCGCTCCGTCTGTCGCAGCTTGAGGATCTCACTGTAGTTCAGGACATTCACTCTAGTCTTGAATAGCTCCAGGGAGGTGGGCTTGAGAGACAGGGTCCTGGTAATCTGCTCCCGCACCACCTGCAACACCTGGAGGGGTAGACGGGGTGCAGTGTGTCACTCCTAGTTTAGCAATGCTCTCCAGAGCCCCTGAAGGCATGGGCACCCATCCGTGCCCGTAACAGCCACATTCACCTTGTCAAAGTCCTCCTGGGTAGCACGCATCTCCTTCCAGGTCTTGTTCACCAGCTGGATGCAGATGCAGAAGAGCTCTTCAAAGAAATGGTCCTGCCCGAAGAACATAGGGTAAAAGGCCTGAGCCGTCTCTGAGCCTGCAGTGAGAAGGACAGATGATGCTAGACTCCCCAGTTTTTCCAGGGAATTTCAGTATGCAGGAGAAGCCATGGCCCTATTCCTCCCCTACCCCCAGTGTTGGCCACACTGGACCCTGGTGCCCTCCTAGGCAGGCATGTCCATGGCTGCCCAGGCAGGGCACCGTGCCCGCCCTCACTCCCGAGAGGCAGGAGGCAGCAGGGCAGGGAGAGGGCTGGCCTGGGACACAGCACACACATACACGGCTCTCCCACGTGCAGGATCTCGCAGAGGATCAGTGTGAGCTGGATGCTGCTCCGAGCAAACGGGCACTCGTGCTTGTCTTCACGACTGCTGTTCTCAAGGACAAACTGGAGGAAAAGGTTGTTGCCACACATTACACATGACAGAATCAAAGTGGTGTCCTAGCAAAGCAGGGCTTGGACTTCTCCACTTTTTAGTTTAGCCATCACCACCTAACAGAAGTATTTGGCAGTATTTAGCCTTGAAAATCAGCCCCACTCTCCACATCATCCCGCCTCAGTGCTGGCACTGAACACAGGCAGAACAGGTCAGAGTGTTGCTAATGCTCTCCATCCACTGACTGGATTTGCCCAAATTGCCCAGATCTGCTTAGACTCAGACTAGACCTGGAAACTAAGCTGTAAATAAATACCAAAATATACAGAGGCCGCTTAGTGGAGTGCCAGCAGCCTCAAACAGCTGGCTTCTGTCCTCAGGAAGGACTCAGATGCATTTTGAAAGGCAAAACCAGCTCAATGAGCAGTGGTATCCTAGCCTGACTGGCCAAGGACAGGTCTGAGGCACAGGAGATCCATGAGCACCTCTCTGCCAAGGAATTCTCCAAGTGACAATCCTCCAACTCACCCTGCTGTAGGCATTGGGAGTATGCTTGGAGAAATACACCATGTTGTCAAGGGCAAGGAGGCCAGGGGGAGCACGGTACAGGTCCTGTGCTGGGTTGCTGTTGTTCTGAGAGGACACAAAAGGATGTAATTTAGTGGCAGCTTTCTCCTCCAAGTAGCAGAGCCCTTGCTGCTGCAGCCCAGGGATTTGCTCTTTGGAACAAGTGTTGCAAGTAAAGCGAAGGACAGTACAGTCCCTGGAGTGCGCGGCAGCTCTGCAGCAATCACTGCAGAGAGATGCTGAGGGAGCAGAAGAGAGGTGCTGCATAGCAGCCCAGTGGGAACCACAGGAAAACCAGGCACAGGGAAGATGTTAAAAGGTCTTGAAGAGGCCAGGTGGTAGGACAACGTGCGGATGGGGCAGGGGGACAGGGCAGACACACCACAAAGCCCAGTTTGCGGAACTCCTTGGCACACAGGGAGCGCCGGCGCTCCGTGCTGAAGTTGCTGGCGGGTGTCTCGCTGCATAGCAGCCCAGTGGGAACCACAGGAAAACCAGGCACAGGGAAGATGTTAAAAGGTCTTGAAGAGGCCAGGTGGTAGGACAACGTGCGGATGGGGCAGGGGGACAGGGCAGACACACCACAAAGCCCAGTTTGCGGAACTCCTTGGCACACAGGGAGCGCCGGCGCTCCGTGCTGAAGTTGCTGGCGGGTGTCTCGCTCTCTGACTCAAAGGCGGTTTGGCGCAGTGACTGGAGGAGCTCCCGCTGCTCCTGCACGCAGAGCAGAGAGAACAGATGTCAGCAAGCCCTGTGCAAGCAGGGTCTCGGGCTCCCGGCACTAAAACCAACAATGAAATCCAGTGGCAAAGGCACGTATCTCAAAGGCAAATCTTCATCTTCCTTCCTCCACTTTCACAGGTGGAAGAGAAAGTTCGATCCAGGGCAGGAGCATCAGGAAGAGGGAGAGAGGGGGAAGGACAAAGCAGAGGGCCAGGCCCACAAGAAGAGTGCTCTCAGACCTGTGAATAGGGATCCATGGGAGTCCTCATGCGGCGCTCATGTAGGTTGAGGCTGATGGACTGCAGCACATACAGGTAATGGGCCATCTCATCCCCCAGTGGCTCCGAGCTGTGAATTATGTTCTAGAGGAGACTGCAAGTGAGAAGGTTCCCCCAGCGTGCTACCCCCACTCCTGCTACATTGAGGGCCCAACAGCCAAAGGCCCCACTGCTCACTGGCACTTTAGGAGGTGGGCAGCTCTCCTCAGAGTTGGGTGCAATGAACCACAGGCTTCTGAGGTGCCCTCTGAGAGAGGCACAGCAGCACTCACTGGAGGCATCAAGGAAGGGGTGTGGGGCACACAGCTACCCCAAGCACACAAGGAGCCATCAAAGGCATGGGCTGAGGGACACACACACAAAAAGGCAGAGACCAGGGAGGAAGGATGGAGGAAGAGGCACAGACCCTTGTATGACCCCTGCTTCACACCTTGTGGATAAACTGTCTGATGTTCCTCTCCCTCAGGTAGTCCATCATATCCTAGGAAGGGAAGAGACTGTGAAACATTCTCCAGCTCAGCATACTATTCTTTCCCAGAAAAGTTGGTGTCCCATTTACAGGCCCGCACCCCTGCTATGCCAGGCTCTGGGCCACAGGAAAGGCAGGGATAAAAAGGAACACTCAGTTTGAGGGGTGACACCAAGCAGGAAACCTGTCCTCAGCTCCCATTGCTCTGGCATGCAGAGCCAGAGGGCTCCAGCAGAGCCCAGACAGACATTTCCCCACAAACGTAGCAGCCAAAGAGAGGAGGCAGAGCAGGGAGACTCACTTTAAATGTCTCTGTGCACCTCAGTGCAACCCCAGAGGATGCAAACACTACAGTGCAAGATGCCAGCTCCCATCGCAGACAAGGGAATCCCTGCCCTAAACCATCAGCTCCATGCCATACAAAACCACGCTGAACCACGCTGTGTTCTGCATCTGACCCACCACAGCCCCTGTGACAGCACTGCATCTAACACTGCTCGTAGCATGTGAATTCTTGGATCTGTCAAAACTACCAGATAGAGAGTAAAACGCCAGAAGGCTCATGGCAGAGCACTCCCAGCAGCGGCTGCACTGCGGTGCCCGCTGCCCGGCAGTCGCCCACTGCTCGGCAGCCACGTGGTCCTGCCCACTGCTCTCAGGGAAAGCAGCTCCTTACCCGTCGCTCAGCATCAGCAGCAGCCAGCAGCAGTGCAATGAGCAGGGCCATTGCCTTCAGCTGCAACTGAGTATTTGTCCTGGGGAAGGCAAAGGAAGATGAAGAGAGTCAGTCACCATGTGAGAGGTTGTTTTGCCCTCCCCAAGGCAAACTCCTCTCCCCCTTAACCACTGGACTCCACCACACTGAGCTGGAGGACTTGGGGAAATGATGCCCCAACGCTGGAGCCATCCGCGAGGAGCTGTCGACAGCAGAACCAGAAGCACTGCAGGGCCAAGAGAGAGGCCAACTGTAACTGAGGAGCAGCCCAGCACGGAGCAACAGATACTGCTTCAGACACACATGTGGGTGCAGCTGCCCAGAGAGCTCCAAGAAGCAATAACCAAAAAGCCTATGTATGATCTCTACGAAAAGACAGGGAACAGCTTTTGAGAGCCAAAGGAAGAGCTCTGGAGGAGTCCTGGACCCAATTTAGGCCTCCTCATTTTCTAGAAAAACCTCTAAACTGAAGAAGTGTAGAGGTATGAGGAAGATGACGGAACAAAGAACCTGTTTCAGCAGAGGGATTTAACAAAATCTAGTTATTCAGTACAGCACCCCCAAACTGTGAGGAAGACACTACTATTTACAAATACACTGGGGAAAGGCAGGAAGAGCCAATGTCAGGAAAGAAAACCAAAAAAGAAAGCCATTTCAACTAAACAACAAAACAGGACATAAGTTCCTGGGCAAAACAGGACATAAGTGAATCTGACCTAGAAATGGGGTGGTTTCTAACTGCTGAGCAGTGGGATTCCAGGGCAGTCTATCCCTTCCCCAGCTTCATGGCAATGCGGACAGAAGAGACTGATAGAATCACAAAATCATAGCATCATTCCGCTTAGAAAAAACCTTCAAGATCATCAAGTCCAACCATAAACACATCACCACCATGCCTGCTAACCCAAGGCCCTAAGTGCCTCATCTACACGTTTCTGGAATATTGCCAGGGATGGTGACTCCACCATGTCCCTGGGCAGCCTGTTCCACTGCTTGACCACTCCTGCTGTGCACAGATTGCACAGGATGTACTTGTGAAGGGACAGTGTAGTGTTGCACCAGGGATAATCAGCAACATATCTCCAAGATGCAGGGAACGCCCTCCAGTAACACATTCCCAGTGGCTCCATCCCGCGGGATGCAGGTGAACAAGGCCCCGGACCCTCCACTTACACCTGCAGATGGGTGAGAAGGCGATCCACAGTCACTTCTTTTCTGACTAGCTCAAAGAGGACGCGACTGCTGGGTACCATGTTCTCCAAGATTGACAAGGAGAGCTGCTGGACGGAGACGTCCATCGCATTCATATTGACGTAACTCACTATCTGCAAAGCACAGAAACGTCAGTCAAAGGCAAGCTGAGCCCAGGTAACTAGAGTAACAAGGTACCTCAAAGGTGTAAGCTGCAGAATATGCAAAATGTACTACCTTTTTGATAAAGGCTGCACTAAGTGTCTCCCAGGAAACAAAATCATGCTCCATCAGCTCCATGAAGGCCTTTAGCGTGTGAGCTAGTATCTCCCCTGTGCTGGAGAAACAAAAGAAAAAGCACAGGGAATTATTCAGATACCTCACAGTTGCCACTATAAGGCAGGAGTGCAGCCAGCCAGTTACATGTTGCTGGGTACATCAGAAATAACTAGAAAAACAGAGAAGTGTGAAAAGAAGAAAGAAAGGGCAGAATGAGGGGTGAGAATGGAGATGAATGGAGAAAAATGTGAAATGGAGAGAATAGCAAGAGAATGGAGGAAAGGATCTTTAGAAAAATCAGACTTGCACTTAGGCATCCTAGGAAGTCAAGGCAGGGAAGAGTTCTGTAGTTTCTGGAAAGCTGTGCTATGGCACAAAGACCACACACACAAGCTCTAAGGAAACTCAACACCCCACAAAATCTCTCCCCGTCATTTGCAATTGTGTCAGTGCACTATCCAAATTTAGGCTCCAGCTCTTCTGTGAGAGAAGACATAGCATCACATCTTGAGAGGAAAAGAATCAGAGAGCCACTGGTTTGGCAATCAGGGATTTCTCAAGCTGCCCGCAGACCTCTGGCAGCTAAAACCCTCAGAGCAGAACCAAGAATCAATGTCGTCCTCTGGGTCACAGCACAGGGCCTCTACAGAAAGGGGCTATAGGGATTAATAAGCCAGACATACTCAACAGAACAGCCAGGCAATGTCCAGTTCAGAGGTTGTACAGCACCACAAGAAAGAAGAAAACCCAGCAACCATATGGAACAACTTCTGGTACTCACTCATTCCCCTCTTCCACAATAGAGAAAATCTGTTTCAGGCCATTTCTGTTGATGAACTCCTGAGCAAAGGTAACATCTTGGGAAAGGTCTGAAAGTCTCTTCAGGGAGTCGGACTTGACATCCAAGTTGTTGCTCTGGATTCCAATGTACAACGCCTCTGCTTCTTGATCCTACCAGGAAGGAAAGAAGAATCAAGCAAAAGGGGGTTGTTGAAAGACAGCAAGAAACTCTGTCAGAGGCAGGGGCTGAAGAAGTTAAGCAAAAGTTTTGGAAGGAAGCTCAGGGTAGAAGAAGTCCAGTGAGGTGGAGGACTGAGACACAGAGCCATCACATCAGAAACTGTCAGGAACTGAGGAAGGAAGCCAGACCAGAGCTGTACTAGGAACAGCTGGTGCGTGCACCCATGGGTCCAAAGTCTTTCGCAAGATATTATTTCGTTTCCCCTCAAACTCCTCTGAGTTCTACTGAGGGAGAAAGGAGGTTGAGACTAGTCTCCCCATACTATTTCTGCTGGGTCTGAGGCACAGAGAGGAGCAAGGACTGGCCAGGTATCACAGAGGAGGTGCCTGCAGCGCGTTGCTGGGGTGGGCTTGGGGTCAGCAGCAGGCTGACAGTGGAGCACGTTTCAGAGAAAGACACAGTGACGTACCGGAGAAGTTGTCAGCCATAAAATGCTTCCATTCTTTATCTCCCCGCGATTCTGCAAGAAGAAAGCAAACTGTCAGGCGACTGCAAAGCCGCGGGGCCGGGGCTGGGGCAGGCCGCCACTCACCGACTCGGCGATGTACGTCTGG